ATTTTGTTGTATACAAAGTGTATCTTAATTTTAAAATATTTAAAAAGAAAAAAATAAACGACTTAGTTTTCTGTTACCAACAAGACTGGTCCAACTCCTTACCTTTGGCAGAACTGTGCTTAATCCACATATCTTAACAGGTTGCCTATTTCAAAATACTCATGGAGAAGATGATTCTAAAAGCCCAAATGGTGATATATAGTTATTCAGCATGAGTTTAAGAATTGGGGAGAGGCCAGGTGTGGTGGCTCCCACTTGTAATCCAAGCACTTTTGGAGGCTGAAGCGGGAGGATTGTTTTAGCCCAACAGCTCAAAATCAGCCCTGGCAACATAGTGAGACCCTCTTGTCTACAAAAAATTTTAAAAATTAGCTGGGTATGATGGGGTGTGCCTGCAGTCCCAGTTACTAGGGAGGCTGAGGTAGGAGGATCACTTGAGTCTGAGAGGTTGCAGCTGCAGTGATCCATGGTCACACCACCACACTCCAGTCTGGGTAACAGAGCAAGATCTTGTCACCAAAAAAAAAAAAAAAAAAAAAAAAAAAGAAGAAGAAGAATAGGGAAGAAATTCTGTGAAACAAATGAAAGTCATTTTTATCTATACTTTCAAAAACAAAAACACACACACACAAAGCTGAGTTTCCCAATATGGCTTTGAGGTCCAACATAGTCTGATGCAACATATTAAGCCATTAAAATGGTTCAGGACAGACGACTATTCTAGATGAACAGTAATAAAGGAGCAAATAGGATTTTCTGAACCCTATGTTGCCATGGGTCCTGACACCAAGCAGAATTCATCAACATTCAGGGTAAGGAAAAAGTAACTTCAAAGGTGGAACTAGGAGAGGAATAAGTAATACATTTAGAATAAAAGAGAAAAGGTTAAAAGCACAAGTTTTATTTTACCATATAAGTTAGCACACAAAATATACTATTTTATATGGAACTGAACACACAGTCATCTTGCTCATCTTCTGTCTCTGTCTGAATGTAAATTGCTCAGCCTATCCTCCTCCCCTCACTTGTTCCTATCTCCATCTCTTTTCACGAGAAATACGTGATTTTAGCCTCCCTGAGGCTACAGCGTCAGACTGAGGCAACTCTAGAATGACAAAGGCTTATTCAACTACAAATTGAATTCCAGTCTGGGGTGCCCATGAGGGTCCAAATTTGGACCCTGCACTTCACAAAGACAGTCCGAATTTCTTTTTTCTTTTTCTTTTTTTTTTTAAACGGAGTCTCACTCTGTTGCCCAGGCTGGAGTGCAGTGGTGTAATCTTGGCTCACTGCAACCTCCACGTCCCGGGTTCAAGCGATTCTCCTGCCTTCAGCCTCCCTGAGTAGCTGGGACTACAGTTGTGCGCCACCACACCAGGCTAATTTTTGTATTTTTAGTAGAGACAAGATTTTGCAATGTTGGCCAGGCTGGTCTCGAACTCCTGACCTTGTGATCCACCTGCCTTGGCCTCCCAAAGTGCTGGGATTACAAGCGTGAGCCACTGCCCTGGGCCGCCCGTCTGAGTTTCTGAGTCAAGTATGGAATTATTCTAATCTCCTTGATAGTCTCCTTGATATTCATCCAAATGAAAACTGATCAGACTGTGCTAAGAGACAAGACCTATGGTGATTGGCATCCAGTATCCCTCACCACACTCAGCACAGATTTAAGAGTCAATATAATACGTGCTGAAGTAAGTAAGCATTCATTTTAATGAATCCTAGAAAAATCTCTTTTCTGAAAGCAGGTACTTGCCTCTTCCAACAGCAATAATTTGGTAGATACAGTTTTTAAGGGCATGTATCTAGGCCTAGAGTACCTAAGATTATAATGCTAAGGATACCAAGATAGGTGCTAACAGTCAAACTTATTCAATAAATAAAAGAAAAAATTTAAAGTACTAGACCACATAGAATTATTAACAAATATTCCTGGCCTTACAATGTGTATATGCAAATGAAACAGAAATTCCTTTGTGAGCAAACAAGTGCTTTCAAGGGTTCTATAATCAGATTAGTACCTTGTTCATTAAGGACTCTAGGACAACACATGCATACACATCAAATCTTAATATAGTCACTGAAATTTAGTCTGCATCAGTTTCCAAGGCTTTCATCAGAGTCGGTCTAACCTTTGAGATACTTCTTATCCCAGTCTAATTCAAGTATTATTAATAGGCCCCCTGGAGCTTGTTATCTTTGACTCAAGCACCTCGTGGTCTCAGCAAAGGCTGCCAGGAAAGAAGGTCTCTAAGTCCAAAAGAAGCATCAAGGCACCACAAGCTGCAGTGCAAATCATCTACTGTGACATTGTAGGCGGAGAAAAACTGTCCCCCAGTACTATCTGGGGGCTACTAACATGCCAAGACAATAATCCACAGTTGGTCAAGTGGCCATGGTCAAAAGAGAGAAAAGAAGCAATTATCCAGATAATTTATATCATGCTTATATAACAGATGGACATTTTAAATAAATAATTCATATAATTATACCACTCACTCTGCATTTCACAGAAGGTGAATCTGTTGTAAAGTAGGTGGTTCAGCTACAGATAGCTCCAGTCTCACTTTTGAAAGTAGTCTTTTACGTACCTTTGGAGTTCTCTAGGTCGACCACGCATGGTGGCTCATGCCTGTAATCCCAGCACTTTGGGAGGCCGAGGCGGACAGATCATTCGAGGCCAGGAGTTTGAGACCAGCCTGGTCAACATGGTGAAATCCCATCTCTACTAAAAATACAAAAATTAGCCGGGCATGGTGGTGGGCACCTATAGTTCCAGCTACTTGGGAGGCTGAGGCATGAGAATAGCTTGAACTTGGGAGGTGGAGGTTGCAGTGAGCCGAGACTGCACCATTGTACTCCAGCCTGGGAGACAGAGTGAGACTCTGTTTTGTTTTATTTTTTTAAAAAACAATAACAACAACAAAAACTTCTCCAAGTCATGGAAAAACATATTGTAACTCTTTGGAAACTGACTTGCAATGTTCTGAAGCCAATAAAGGCCCGTTGTCTGGATTCAAAGATATAATTTCTCAACAGAAGACCTCAAATCTTTAAGCAGCTTAATTTTTACCTGAATTTGTCTAGAATTGAGTATACCTATTCAATTTAACTCCTTGTCAGCCCTATAAATTGAAAGGAATGCTTATATTGCATTTATAGATGTTAAAAAAATTAATAGCTGTCATCCCCTTCTTCTCTTATTTCAATAGATTACTAAGCTGAGCACAGTGGCTCACACCTATAATCCCAGTAGTTTGGGAGGCCAAGGCAGGTGGATCTCCTGAGGTTGGGAGTTCGAGACCAGCCTGGCCATCATGGTGAAACCCCATCTCTACTAAAAATACAAATATTATCTATGCGTGGTGGCAGGCACCTGTAATCTCAGCTACTTGGGAGGCTGAGGCAGGAGAATCACTTGAACCCAGGAGGCGGAGGTTGCAGTGAGCCAAGATCTCGCCATTGCACTCCAGCCTGGGCAACAGAGCGAGACTCCATCTCAAAAAAAAAGAAAAAGAAAAACAAGAATTCACCTTCCCAAATAGTTCAGAAATGTAAAGTTTAAAATTTAATGTGGTTCTCTTAGCTTTTATCTCATTTTACATTCAGCTCCTTATTAAATGGGATATAGATCTCTGGGATGTAAATCTGAAAAATCCATGCCTATGGGTCACTTCTTTACTTTCTAACTTTGCACAAATAATTTTCCTGAGCTTCAGTTTCCTCATCTGTAAAATGAGAATAACAACACTACCTGCCACACCTACTTCAAAGGATCACTGCTGAAACTCACATGGGGTAAGACATATGAAATCAAACAGCAAAGCACTCTGCAAATATTGGTTACTACCACAGATGGGGAAATATTACGAGCAGGAAAAAAAAAATGGGTGAATTAGTTTAGAAAAAATTAGGGTGAAAAAGTTTCTTCTACCTGAAAGAGAAGGGTTGCAAACATAGAAGTAACTTTAAGCTATTGACTAAATATATTTAGGGAAGTGGTCTGACATAAAGTTGAGTTATTATTTAGAAGTGGATTCTCATGCCAACACATTCACTTTGCACAGACGGCAGAAGAAGAAAAAGACAAAAGATTAAGAGTGGGTGTCCGGCTCTCAGCTCACCAAAATAACTGATTTGAGGCGAGAGGGTGTAGTTAGTCATGGCAGTCAGTAGATAGAGAATATTGCTGCATTAGGTGATGAACTATAAGGTGTCGTTACCAAGCACAGATTATCCACAATCCACATAGTATAGCTACGTATAGGGCATGGGATTTCTATAGAGCGCTTTAGAAAAAAAAAATAGAAAAATAGAAAAGCTATTCCACAAGTATCAAACAGACAGAAGTAATTCAATAACTTAGTTCTCCACAGGAAGCTCTCGGGGAGGTAGCATTGCTGAGAAGAAAGTTAAGATACCTATAACAACGAGGTCCGGGGTGTTCTAGGAGCTATAGCCTAGAGGCGACACAAACTGTTTTTAAGCACTACAAATCAATAAAGCAAGAGGTGTGGTTTCAGACCTGCTTGTCTTTACCCAGTATAGGGCTTTACTCTTTAAGTGATCTAAGATATTCTATAATGGGGACACACAACAACTGAATTTTCTGAAAGGGCATCAGACAAATGACACTGTGCCTATGAGTGACACGGCGTGCAGGCACGCCAACCAGACATAAGTGAAGATAACTAATCTATAGGGATACGACCAGGGACAAAAATCACCAGTAACCATGACAACACAAGTAGGTGGAGGGAAACACAAACACTGACCAAGCAGCGGGGTGACACTATTCCTTCAGGAAGAGAGATCCTGGGGTCAGAAAAAGACTTGATTAGTGGAGGAAGCTGGCCAAGAATGAAACCGATTAGCCCAAAAGGGCAGTATCCATGCAGAAGGACTCGGCGGCAACACTGATACTCCCCATGGGGCGGCTCGCAGGGTCAAAGACACATCTGTAGGAGACTGGACGCCTCTAAGACCGAGAAAGGAGTTACCTGGTGCAGGGCTGTCAAGCCGTCCACGTTGACTGTGTTGATATCAGCACCTCTTGCCAGAAGCTTTCTCACCTCGTCGGTGTCCCCGCTAGAGCAGGCGGCCAGGAAGACAGCACCGTCCTCGAAGCGGACCCTGGGGCTCCCGCGCCTGGTCAGCGGCTGCCGCCCTGCGCCTCGTCGCTCCGCGGGCTCCTGCTCTGTCAGCGAGCCCCGCCAGCGCCGAAGCTGCTCTGCCCGCCGCATTCGCGCCGACTCTGCCCGCTTCCCTCCTAGGTGCTCCAGCTCCGCCATTGCTCCGGCCTCAGCAGCTGCTGCCAAAACTACCAACACTAAATTACTGTTGGGGCTCGGGTTGCCGCTGCCGCCTCCCTCAGAGCGCTTCAGCCGGGAGCAGAGGGCGGAGACCCTCGCGCCGCCATCTTTACTCCTCTCGCCACTAGCACCGCCCGCACGCTCCCTCGGCTTCAATACGCAGCCGCTGCCCGGCCTCGGATCATCACGGGACTCGTAGTAAGAGGCCTGCCCTAAGTGCACTTGGTGGCCGTAAGGGAACTACAAATCCCTGGATGCATCAGAAAAAAGTCGAGGACCGACGGCTCTTTCGCCACGGGACCCAGTGAGGTCACCTTTGCCCTAAAGCTGGAACTGTCTCCTGGACTGGCGTCAACCTCTTCCTCTGGGCATTTTGGGAGTCGTAGTTTATTCTTGTTATGACTGGTAACTAATCTTAGCTCCCTAATTATCACATCAATTCTTTGGAGTGGAAGAGACGCGGTAATTATTCCTATTTTCTGGAGGGGAGAACTAAACATTAAGTACCTAAACGACTGGATTCTATATCCTAGTTCTAAGTCTAGAGTTTTATTAACATGTGTATTAATCACAGTAAATGTGAATGTGCGTGGGGAGGAAGAGCAGTATTACATGTTTTACATAAATACTGTCAACTTACTCCAGGCCCAGAAAAGATCTTGAAAATGATGCATTCAGATGTAGTGAGAAGAGTTTAAGCTGTGAATTTAAATTGAATTCACAGCCGTAGACAAATTACTTGACTTCTCTGAGCCAGTTTTCTTACGTGTAAAATGGGAATAATATCTCACAGGGTAGTCGTGTGGATCAGATAAAATAATACATGCAAGGATGCCTAATACTATCTTTGGCACATATTGCATCCCAATAAATAATTTCTCTTCTCCCTCCTCCTCCTCCTCTACTCTTTTCATATATCTTAAATTTTTACAAGACAGAATAGATGTCTTCCGTGATTTTTATTTCTTTTCTTTTGACACAGAGTCTCACTCTGTCACCCAGGCTGAGTGCAGTGGCACAATCACGGCTCACTGCAGACTCAACCTCCTGGGCTCAAGTGATTCTCCCACCTCAGCCTCCCAAGTAGCTAGGACTACAGGTGCCCACCACCACACCCGCTATTTTTTTTTATTTTTTTATAGAGACAAGGTCTCACCATGTTGCCCAGGCTTGTCTGGAACTCCTAGACACAAGCGATCTCCTGCCTCAGCTTCCCAAAGTGTTGGGATTACAGCCCTGAGCCACTGTACCTGGCCCATGATTTTTTTTTCAAAGCTAGAGAAAGATACTATCAAGCATACTAAATCATACTAAATTCCTAAGGTAGCAAATAGGACATTCTTATATTCCCCAAGACTGGGTTAAAAAACATATATCTGTCTGATTGTTTTGTTTTGTTTTGTTTTGTTTGAGACAGGGTCTCACTCTGTCACCTATGGCATGGTCATGGATCAGTGTAGCCTCAACCTCCCAGGCTCAAGCAGTCCTCCCACCTCAGCTCCGCAAGTAGCTGGGACTACAGGCCTGCGTCACTATGCCTGGCTAACTTTTGTATTTTTTGTAGAGACAGGGTTTTGCCATGTTGCCCAGGCTAGTCTTGAGCTCCTGGGCTCAAGTGATCCACCCACCTCAGTCTCCCAAAGTGTTAGTATTACAGGCATGAGCCACCACATCCGGCCAGTCCGATTGATTTAATAATTATAACCTCCAGTGCTCTAGCCCTGAACAAAATATAATTAAATGTGTTACCCATAATGAAGGAGTACATATGCAAATATTAGATTCTTTAAACATTTCTGTATGTTTAAAATTTTTCATTTAAAAATGTTGCAAAATGATCGGGGTATTGTAAAGGGAAACTTTATTATATTCTGTCATGTGAAAATTTGCCTGTTCCTAAATTCCTCCTGAAATGAAGTGGAAATCATACATTAAGGAAACAATTAGTTATTGAATTGAAAACCTTAAATGAAAAGTGACATATAAATGTAAAAATTATTATGTTTAATAATACTGTGTCTACCCACCATATGCTTTAGTAGGGTATTCTTAAATACATTATAAATACTAATTAAACCTTATGTCAAATCTGTGAACTATGAATAACAATGTACATAAAGAAAATCAAGGTATAATAATGTATACATTATGTAACCTCATTTTCCTTGCTACATACATTTATTTATGGCCATCATAGAACTTGTCATGTTTCATCATTTATTGCAATTAAAAATTTTTGGCCAGACGTGATGGCTCACGCTTGTAATCCCAGCATTTTGGAAGGCCAAGGTGGGCAGATCACTTACGGTCAGGAGTTCGAGACCAGCTTGGCTAACATGGTGAAACCCCATCTCTACTAAAAATACAAAAAGTAGCTGGGTATAGTGGCAGGTGCCTGTAATCCCAACTACTCAGGAGGCTGAGGCAGGAAAATCGCTTGAACCTGGGAGACGGAGGTTGCAGTGAGCCAAGATTACACCACTGTACTCCAGCCTGGGTGACAGAGCAAGACTGTCTCAAAAAAAAAAAAAAATTATTCATGAGATTTACTTTGTAACATATCACAGTGGGACCTCCTCTTATTCCAATTCAGCCTCTTGCTGATAATTTGTATTGCCCTTAAGCACCCAAATAGAACTCTCAGTAAAGGATAAAAGAAAAATTGATATTAAATCAAATAGGTAGGAATACTCAGCTAGAAGCCTAATCCTATTCACAGTCCTCATGCATCATTTCAATATTATGTTCCTGGTATATGATAGCTGCTCCTATATATATATAACTTTATGTTTTACTGGCATACTGGTCTTCTAATAAGGATTTTTGAACTGGAGTACATTTTTCAGGGATCAATAATGATGATTCTTTTGGCTGCATTCTTTTTGTATTCAGAATTAGGAGGCAAAAAATATCTAGTTCCAGTTGTTTAAATAAGCTAAAATTGACCCACTCCAGGTTAAATCCTTACTTTCCCAAGAGATAGGAACTAAAATTTCTTTCTTTTTTGGAGATAATTGGTACCAACATAACTCACTGCAGGCTCGAACTCCTGAGCTCAAGCAAATCTCCTCCTACCTCCTGAGTAGCTGGGACTATAGGCACATAAAATAAAATTATGTTATTTTATTTTTAAGCAGAGACGGGTCTCGCTATTTTGCCCAGGCTGGTCTTGAACTCCTGGCCTCAAGCAGTCTTCCCACCTCAGCCTCCCAAAGTACTGAGATTTTAGGTGTGAGCCACCATGCCCAGCCTGAGCTTAAATTTCAACAAGAAATCAGTCTCTTTTTCTTTTTCTTTTTCTTTTTTTTTAAACAGAGTCTCCAGGCTGGAGTGCAATGGCACGATCTCAGCTCACTGCAACCTCTGCCTCCCGGGTTCAAGCGATTCTCCTTGAGAAGCTTGGACTATAGGCACTCACCACCATGCCTAATTTTTGTATTTTTAGTAGAGACAGGGCTTCACCATATTGGCCAAGCCCTTGACCTTGCGATCCACCTGCCTCGGCCTACCAAAGTGTTGGGATTACAGGCATAAGCCACCACGCCAGGCCAAGAATTCAGTCTCAATATAAGGAAGTTCCAGGAAGCCAGAAGTACTTCCTTACCATACCTATTTTATTTGCTTCTTTTCTTTTTTTTTTTTTTCCTGTGGAAGTAAGTGTGTAATACCTTCTTTGGAGATTTTACAGAAAAGTGTAAGTAGCTAAATTCCTTGGATAGTTTAAGAGCATACCTACTTGGAGAGAAAGAAATATAGCTTCTGGCTGTATGATTATTGAAAGTAGTAATAATTATTATAATCTAATTAATTTTACAGGCTCGGCCAAAAAAGATGCCATGAAAACATTCATCTACCTATAATGACTTAAAAAGATTTTCACATCAAAATCCTATTTTTTCTAAAACATCTTTCCCAACCAGGGCTTTCTGAGAATAACTTATACAATCAGCTCATTAAACAAGTATGGTCATTTAAATTTCCTAAATAAGTACTCCATTCTTTTATTATTTATTTTTTATTTTTGAGACAGGGTCTCACTCTGGATTTGCAGTCGTGCAATCACAGCTCACTGCAGCCTCAACCTCCTGGGCTCAAGCAATCCTCTTACCTCGGCCTCCCAAGTAGCTGGGACTACAGGCATGCACCACCATGCCTGGGTAAGTTTTGCATTTTTTGGTAGAGATGGGGTTTTGCCATGTTACCCAGGCTGGTCTCAAACTCCTGGGCTCAAGCGATCTGCCCACCGAGGTCTCAAAAAAATAAAAAATAGGCCAGGAGCAGTGACTCACGCCTGTAATCCCAGCACTTTGGGAGGCCGAGGCGGGCGGATCACAAGGTCAGGAGATCGAGACCATCCTGGCTAACATGGTGAAACCCCATCTCTACTAAAAATACAAAAAATTAGCTGGGCAAGGTGGTGGGTGACTGTAGTCCCAGCTACTCAGGAGGCTGAGGCAGGACAATGGCGTGAACCCAGGAGGCGGAGCTTGCAGTGAGCTGAGATTGCGCCACTACACTCCAGCCTGGGCGACAGAACGAGACTCCGTCTCAAAAAAATAAAATAAAATAAAATAAAAAATAAAAAGAAATAAAATAAAAAATAAAAAAGGATATATTTTCATATACTAGTGAATAAATCCTGACAAGTAATACTGTTTAAAAATAAAATACAATTTTATACTTTTACAAGTACTTAAGCGAGCCTGCTGTGATGTGTTGTTAAAGTGAAGAAACCTTTATAAAATAATAATTTTCATAGCTACACTTTAAAAATAAATTATAACATTAGAATGCTCCATTTTAACAAACCATAACACCTGTAAAAAGTTTATGAAACTCTTTTAGCCTGGCCTCTATTCCCACCAGTTAACATACCCCCCTCTGGTGGACAAATGGAAACGGTACATTTAGTGTATGGGGTTCTTTCTCTTTTTTTTTTCTTTCTCTTTGTTTTCTTCTTCCCTCTCTACCTACTTTTCTTCCTTCCTCTTTTTTCTTCTATCCTTTTCTCTTTCCTCTCTGTTGCCAAAATTACTTGTTTTATCAAACCATCTCTCTTTTCCACCAGACTCAATACAGTTCTTGCTTTTTCTTTTTTTTTTTCTGAGATGGAGTCTCGCTCTGTCGCCCAGGCTGGAGTGCAGTGGCCGAATCTCAGCTCACTGCAAGCTCCGCCTCCCAAGTCCACGTCATTCTACGGCCTCAGCCTCCGGAGTAGCTGGGACTACAGGCGCCCACCACCATGCCCGGCTAGTTTTTTGTATTTTTCTTAGTAGAGACAGGGTTTCACCGTGATAGCCAGGATGGTCTCGATCTTCTGACCTCGTGATCCGCCCGTCTCGGCCTCCCAAAGTGCTGGGATTACAGGCTTGAGCCACCGCGCCCGGCCAGTTCTTGCTTTTTCTAAGAGACATTTTAAAGATCTATTTCTCAGAGAACCACCCAAGGAAGTAATCAAGTTCAGTTCTGAAGACAGAACTGTAATTGAGATACAATTACAGTTGGGGCAGGAAGAAAATAAAAACAGGTATTGAAAGGATTAAAACAGAAAACAGTAGTAAAATAAGCAGGAACTCAATTATGACAGAAAACACTTCACTAAATGCTGAGTAAATGCTAACAATAAATGCAAAACCCCAACAGCGAACTGGAATTAGACTGGACAAGAATGGGATTCCTTGTTTGTTTCAGAACTTTATAATTAATAAACTACTGTAGTTGGCTTATTCCTGCAACTAAGGTGAGGAACCCCAGGGGAGCATCACAGAGTCCTAGTGAACATGTGGGGCTCTTGAGAGAAAACACACCACACAATGGTTATGGGGAACTACTTGCCACTTAACCCCAGTTTCGACTAGATGTAGACATCACTGCTGTGGCCAAAATTATACTTACTTCCAAGTTTAAAAAGAGACTGATTATTACTTTGTTACCAATAATAGTAATAAACAGTATAATAGTAATAATAATAAATTACTATTAGTATTATCATCATTATTCCAAAGCTACATAGTGAGCTGAGAGCAGTCAGATGAGGGTTGGCTTTTTGTTCGTTTGTTTTTCCACCCACAGTATTCCCAAAGGCTAGTCAAGTTCCAGCCACATCCTTTAGATTAAGTCAGGTCTGTGCCATCTTTCAGCGCTCATGAAGCATTGGCCTCTGGCAGAGGCAGCTCTGAGAAGTTAAGGTTGGCTTAACCATAAACAGGTTCTTCCTTTTTCAGTACCATGCATCTAGCGTTGGAAGACGATTTAAAAGTCATCTATTCCAGCTGGGCACAGTGGCTCACGCCTGTAATCCCAGAACTTTGGGAGGCTGAGGCGGGTGGATCACCTGAGGTCAGGAGTTCAAGACCAGCCTGGCCAACACGGTGAAACCCCGTCTCTACTAAAAATACAAAAATTAGCTGGGCGTGGTGGCGGGTGGCTGTAATCCCAGCTACTCCGGAGGCTGAGGCAGGAGAATCGCTTGAACCCGGGAGGCAGAGGTTGCAGTGAGCCGAGATTGCTCCATTGCACTCCAGCCTGGGTGACAGAGCAAGACTCTGTCTCAAAAAAAAAAAAAAAAAAAGTCATCTATTCCAGACTGCCACCCAGTACAAGGATCCTTTCTGCACTATCCCTGACAAGTGATAACCTAACTTCCACTTGAACATTTCCAGTGATGAAGGAATTCACTACCCCCTACGTTTACCTATTTTGTTCTTCAGAGTTCTAATTGATAGAATGCTTTATTTAGCTAAGTTCTGCATCTCTTAGACTTTCATCTGTTGTCCTTAAATGTGTCCTCTGAAGTAGTAAAATCTCCCATGTGAAAAATACTTAAAGGAAGACAGCTATCACATATTCTCTTTTCCAGATTAAATATTTCTAGTTCCTTTCATTTTTCTTGCTAAGAAACGATTTCCAGCTCCTTCCTTGGTCTGACAGAGCCGACTTCGTAACCGAACTTGGAACCCCGGACGTCTTCTCAGGGTTGAGCGCAGGGTGTAAGACGCTGAATGGCTGCGCCCGGTGCGCGCTCTTATTTGAATGCGTGAGCGTTCACAGCGCTGGCCAATAGAGAGGAGCGGTGGCTGCGCTTCTTTCCCGGGGGTTACTGTGGGCCAATCACAATCTTCTCCAGACAGGGGGCGGAGCTACGCCAACCGTCCGAGGTCGCGCAGGCGCTGGTACCAAGTTGGTCCGCCGGTTGCCGCGTTGTGAGGGGTGTCCGCGCAGGTAAGTAAGGAGAGTATTCCGGTTCCCGATCTGAAAGAACGTACACCGGAGGAGGTCACTGAGTCTTGGGGGGAAGGAGTCCTGTGTCCGCCCAACATGGGAGTTTTCGTCTCCTCTGAAAGGAGAGCCTCAGAAAAGCCACCGTTGAGCGGAGGGTCTCACAGTATCTTTGCATGAAATCGTGGTCAGAGCTCCCCCTAGCCGTCCTCCTGCCACGGCAGGGAGAAATTTGCCACTAGAAAGGACGTAACAGCGCAGTACTTGCTGCGGGTTGTGCACTGACTGTTCTTTTGCCTTCTTCAGCATCTGGTCCAAACCCACGTTTCGTTCATTAATTATCCAAATTTACTGCAGACTTGATACAAAAAAAAAAAGACTAGGGACCTGCCGTCAAGGAATTCCCCCTAAGGAGAAGAAACTATCAGATGAATTAGAACACGATGCAAATAGATGTGGACTCGCAGAGGGTGACGTTGAAAAGGTGTGAGGGGTGGGGATGCATTACTGGAGAATGAGTTGTGATTTAATATGTACTTATCTAAAGGTGTGAAAGAATAATACTTTTATGAGCAGCAGGAATAGGGCAGTGTGGCTGAAGCACGAGTTTGTGGAAAGTAGATACTGGATATAAGGCGGAATATAAGGGTTAGATTGTAAAGAACCTTTATACCCTGAAAAATAGGCAGTTATTCGTGGCATTTGAGCCACAGAATGGCGTATGCCAATTTTGGTTAATATAGTGAGGCTGGAGTCTCGTTGATTCCTTGGGAGAAATTGCCTTGCTTGTTCTAATCCTTTTACCATGGCTTTCCACTGTTCTCGTTTTATATAAAGGTACACTTTATACTTGTGATATTTTAATGTACAGTCAGCCCTCAGTATCCATGAGGGATGGTTCCAGGACATCCTGCGGATCCCAAATCCACCAAAGGTCAAGTCCCAGATATAAAACGGTGTAGTATTTGCATGTAACCTATGCATGTCCTCCCATATACTTTAAGAGATGGGGATCTCCTTTGTTGCACAGACTGGGTTTTTTTGGTTTTTTGGGTTTTTGGGTTTTTTTTCCAGAAAGAGTCTCGCTCTGCCACCCAGGCTGGAGTGCGGTGACACGATCTTGGCTCACTGCAACCTCCGCCTTCTGGGTTGAAGCTATTCTCCTGCCTCAGCCTCCCAAGTAGCTGGGATTACCGGCATGCACCACCACACCCTGCTAATTTTTGTATGTTTAATAGAGACAGGGTTTCCTCATGTTGGCCAGGCGGGTCTCAAACTCCTGATCTCAAGTCACCCACCCACCTTGGCCTCCCAAAGTGCTGGGATTACAGGTGTGAGCCACCATGCCTGGCCAGTTTTGTTTTGTTTTTGAGACAGTGTCTTGCTCTGTTGCCCAGGTTGAAGTGCAGTGGCGCGATCTCAGCTCACTGCAACCTCCACCTCCCGAGTTCAAGCCTTTCTCCTGCCTCAGCCTCCTGAATAGCTGGGATTACAGGCACCCACCACCGCAGCTGGCTGATTTTTGTATTTTTAGTAGAGAGGGTATTTCCCTATGTTGGCCAGGCTGGTCTCGAACTCCTGACCTCAAGTGATCCACCTGCCTCGGCCTCCCAAAGTGCTGGGATTGCAGGCATGAGCCACTGCACCAGGACGCACAGGCTGGTCTTGAACCTCTGCATGTCCTCCCATATACTTTATTTATTTTAGAGATGGGGTTCTCCTTTGTTGCACAGACTGGTCTTGAACCCCTGGCCTCAAGTGATCCTTCTGCCTTGGTCTCCCAAATTGCTACAATTACAGGTGTGAGCCACCATGTCCAGCCTCGCCCCCATATACTTTGAGTTATTTCTTGATTACTTATAATACCTAATAAAATGCTAAGTAAATTGTTGTTACACTGTATTGTTTAGGGAATAATGACAAGAAAAAATGTATAGTACATGTTTGGACGAGTTTTGTTTTTTGTTTTTTTTGCTTTTTTGTTTTTTGAGACAGAGTCCTAATCTATCGTCCAGGATGGGGTGCAGTGGCGTGATCTCGAAGTACAAAACGCTTTCAGCAAAAAATCTTTATTTTTAAGAAAAAAGTATTTTTTCTCATTTTCTATTTCTGTCATAAATTTTTATTCTTTCCAGTGGAACCAAAACTTGAACTTCCTTATGGTTGATACATGCCCAGCAAGACTGATCAAAGAAAAGATAGCACAGATAAACAGTGTTAGAAATGAAAATGGAAACATAACTATAGATAACTACAGAGATTAAAAAGATAAGGCATTACACAAATACATGTAAAGTTGCATGTAATAGATAAATTTGTGGAAAAATTTAACTTGCCAAATTGATGCAAGAATAAATAACTTGAATAATATTTAAATAAATTGGATTTGTAGTTTAACATTTTCTCAAAATGAAAACACCAGGACCAGATAGAGTTATTCCAGACAACCTAGTAACAAATTATCTCTTGGACTAATCCACAATATATATTTTAAAAAAAAGGAGGCAATGCTCCCTAACTCATTTTAGGAGGCTACAATAACCTTGATACCTAATAAAGACAAAATTAGAAAGGACAGTTATAGGCCAGTCTTATTGATTAGCATAGTGTTAAAAGTTTTCCCTTTAAGGTTAGAAATCTGACAAGAATGCCAACTATCAGCTTTTCTTTCTTTCTTTTTTTTTTTGCTGTTGTTGAGACAGTCTCACTCTGCCACCAGGCTGGAGTGCAGTGGCACAATCATGGCTCACTGCAGCCTCCATCTCTCCAGGCTCAGGTCATCCTCCCACCTCAGCCTCCTGAGTAGCTGGGATTATGCCAGCATGTCTGGCCTAGCTATCAGCTTTTGTTTTCAACATTGTACTGGAAGTTACTGCCAGAATAGAAGGCAGGAAAAGAATTAGAAGGGAAGAAATAAACTGATTATATGTGGATGACATGATTGTCAGTGTGGAATTACCATTCCCAGACCGCTCCCCACCCCAAATAGATTCATCCTTACCATTACTAAGGCTTTGGTTAAAAATCAATTAGATTGACTGGGCGAGGTGGTTCACGCCTGTAATCCCAGCAGTTTGAGAGGCTGAGGCGGGTGGATCACCTGAGTTTGAGAGTTCGAGACCAGCCTCACCAACATGGAGAAACCCTGTCTTTACTAAAAAAATACAATATTAGCCAGGCCTGGTGGCACATGCCTGTAATCCCAGCTACTCAGGAGGCTGAGGCAGGAGAATCGCTTGAACCGGGGAGGTGCAGGCTATGGTGAGCCAAGAGCACACCATTGCACTCCAGCCTGGGCAACAGGAGTGAAACTCCGTCTCAAAAAAATGTAAAAATCAATTAGATTTACATGTATCAGTAAGAAATGGGTAGTAAGTAGTGTTTTTGAAAAGATAGCAAAAATATAAAGTACTTAGAAATCAGTCTGACAAAAGTTAGGTAAAACTTTGTAGAGAAAATTATAAAACCTTTGGAAAGCAACAAAAAAAAGACTGAAACAGCATGTTCATGGATCTTAGGATTCAATATCATAAAGATATCAGTTATCTCCAAATTGATCTATAGCATCAATAAAATTACAATCCAAATCACAGAACCCTGTTATGATTTGGATTATAATTTCATATATACATATTTATATATATATTTATGGACTTATGAACTGATTCTCAAATCTATATGGAAGAGCAAAGAGTCAAGAATAAGTCATTCCTGAAGAAAAAGTGGATAAGCTACAGTAAAACATCACATTGTACACCTTAAATATATACAATTTATATTTGCCAGTTATATACCTCAGTAAAGCTGGGGAAAAAATTAAATAATAATAAATGAATAAGCTATAGTAAATCAAACAGTGGAGTATTGTCTCAGAAATAATCCACTTGACCAATGGAACAAATTCAAGAGTCCCAAAACAAATCCACACATATAGAAATTTAATTTATAGTAATTTCAGCAGGGAAAGGATGGACATTCAGTAAATGGTGTTAGAACAATTGACTATTCATATGAGGAAAAACTTTAAATTGGGCCCCCCCCCCACTCACTATGCATAAAATTCAATTCCTAGTGGATTCAATATTTAAATTTGAAAAGCAAAATTATAAAATATTTGAAGACTATGTAGGAATATCTCTACATTTGGGGGTGAGGAAAAATTTAATACACAAAGTATAAATGTAAAGGAAGAGATTTTAAGATTGATTATGTTAAGAGTATGTGTTCGGCCGGGCGTGGTGGCTCAAGCCTGTAATCCCAGCACTTTGGGAGGCCGAGACGGGCCGATCATGAGATCAGGAGATCGAGACCATCCTGGGTAACCCGGTGAAACCCCGTCTCTACTAAAAAATACAAAAAACTAGCCAGGCGAGGTGGCGGGCGCCTGTAGTCCCAGCTACTCGGGAGGCTGAGGCAGAAGAATGGCGTGAACCCAGGAGGCGGAGCTTGCAGTGAGCAGAGCGAGACTCCGTCTCAAAAAAAAAACAAAAAGAGTATGTGTTCATTGAAAGACACCATTTACAACATGGAAAGATAAGCACAAAGTGGGGGATATTTGTAACACATATTAAAGGATTGGTGTTGGCTGGGCATGGTGGCTCACACGTGTAATCCCAGCACTTTGGGAGGCTGAGGTGGGTGGATTACGAGGTCAGGAGTTCAAGACCAGCCTGGCCAAGATGGGGAAACCCCATCTCTACTAAAAATACAAAAATTAGCCAGGTGTGGTGGCGGGCACCTGTAATCCCAGCTGCTCAGGAGGCTAAGGCAGAGAATTGCTTGAACCCAGGAGGCGGAGGTTGCAGTGAGCCGAGATTGCACCACTGCATTCCAGCCTGGGCGACAGAGCGAGACTCCTTCTCAAAAAAAAAAAAAAAAAAAGATTGGTGTCCTTTGCTTGGTTAGTAGTTAGAGGGAGAACTAGAGTTGAGAAGAGTGTTGGGTGAATATGTGTGTGGGTGTTGGTTTTAGGTGAGAGAGATTTTGAGCATATTTGAATATTGAGAGTGAGAAAGATGGAATAATTGATGGACTGGTATCCCTGAAGATTGAGAGAAGGTGGAATCCATAATACATGGAGAGAACCTTGGACATTTAACATTTGTTTGTGCCCGAGAATGTTGACTGTCTTTACCATTCTTGCTCTCACAAAGCATATGTAGACTTCCTCACAACAGCTAATATTTGTCAAGTCCCTTACTATGTCAGGCATGTTAAGGCTACAATAGTAAGCAAAATCAGACCCAGGCCTGGCCTCATGAGTTTATTATTTATCAGTGGAAAGACCCATTATTTAAAACCTTTAGTGTTTTTATTTTTTGTAGAACTTTTTGCATTTTTAATTCTTTTTCTTTTCTTTTCTTTTTTTTTTTTTTTTGAGACGAAGTCTTGCTCTGTAGCCCAGGCTGGAGTGCAGTGGCTTGATCTCGGCTCACTGCAAGCTCCGCCTCCCAGGTTCACGCCATTCTCCTGCCTCAGCCTCCCAAGTAGCTGGGACTACAGATGCCCGCCACCATGCCCGGCTAATTTTTTGTATTTTTATAGAGACAGGGTTTCACCATGTTAGCCAGAATGGTCTTGATCTCCTGACCTCATGATCCGCCCACCTTGGTCTACCAAAGTGCCGGGATTACAGGCATAAGCCACCACGCCCAGCCAACATTTTTAATTCTTTATTTTAAAAACATATTTGCTTGAGTAGATAAACGTTCACCAGAAGGAAATGGAAAAAACTCAGATTCCCTTGTCAGAATAGAGATTAATAAGAGGAATCTTGGCCTGGTGTGGTGGCACACACCTGTACTTCCAGCTGCGTAGGCGGCTGAGATGGGAGGATCGCTTGAGCCCAGCAGGTGGAGGTTGCAGTGAGCTGAGATTGTGCCACTGCACTCCAGCCTGGTTGACAGAGCAAGACCCTGCCTCCAAAAACAAAAAAACCAGGTGCATTGACTCATGCCTGTAATCCCAGCACTTTGGGAGGCCAAGGCAGGCGGATCACCTGAGGTCAAGGCATTTGAGACCAGCCTGGCCAACATGGCGAAACCCTGTCTCTACTAAAAATACAAAAATTAGCTGGGCATGGTGGCGCACGCCTGTAATCCCAGCTACTCTGGAAGCTGAGGCACGAGAATTGCTCAAACCCAGAAGGTGGAAGTTGCAGTGAGCTGAGGTGGTGTCACTGCCCTCCAGCCTGGGTGACACAGTGAAACTGTGTCTCAAAAAAGAGGACTCTGTCCCCCACCCTCACTACATTGAAACTGTTTGCTGAAAACTTCATAGTCATTATTGCTGACGATTTTATGGTCACCTCTTTTCTCCTCCAGTGCATCCCAGCCAGCTCTTAGTGTGGAGCAGTGAACTGTGTGTGGTTCCTTCTACTTGAGGATCATGCAGAGAGCTTCACGTCTGAAGAGAGAGCTGCACATGTTAGCCACAGAGCCACCCCCAGGCATCACATGTTGGCAAGATAAAGACCAAATGGATGATCTGCGAGCTCGTAGGTATCAAATCATGTATATGATGGAAGTCATGACCCTATTGAAGATTGTGCTGAAATAAACTATTTTGTATATTCTTCTGAAGTAAGGAACAGTTATAAGGTCAGAGTGCCCTACCATCTTTCTACCCTAATTTGTTTACATTTATAAAAGGTTTGCTTGACATTTCTTGCTTCTTTGACTTTTTATTATACCTTCTGCTGATTTATAGCCAAGATTTAAAGCAGTGAAGCAGTGTTTAGATCAAAGATAACCATCTCAAATATCTGTGAAGCCAGATGGGAAACATACATGATTAGAATACTGCAGTCCAAACAAAACAAATCTGTAGGTTGTATTTGGTCTTGTGGCCAGCATTTTGCAACTTCTGCTTTAGATTTTCTATATGTCCTTTGACACCTTTAACTTTTTGAGTACATTAGCATTGTGGTGTGTTGCATGAGGACTTGTTAAAGTCCTGAGAGAGAATTATTGTCCTAGGCCTACTTTCTCTATTAGGACCATAGACCTCATTAGCTCCATATGGTGGTAATTCAAATAATCTGATTCCCTTTTAACTTTTTCTTTCTTTCTTTTTTCTTTTAAGAAATATTAGGTGGAGCCAACACACCTTATGAGAAAGGTGTTTTTAAGCTAGAAGTTACCATTCCTGAGAGGTTAGTATGAATCAGCTTCTCAACCTACATGGTAAAGTGCATTTATTGGGAGACAGAGCAATGTAGTAGATAGAGCATAAAGGACTAGGTTTTAATCCTGGCCTTATCATGACTTAATGTGACCTTGACCAAGTTATTTTATCTCTCTGGAGTTCAGTTTCCTTCTCCAGAACAATGGGCCAGATCACATCAAAGACCCACTCACTTTTTCAATTGTGGTAAAATATACATAACATAATGTTGACCATTTTTAAGTGTACAGTTCAGTGGTATTAAATACATTCACATAGTTGTGCAACCATCACCAACATCTATCTCCAGAACTTTTCATCCTCCCGAACTGAAACTTCATAGCCATTAAACTCTAACTCCCCATTTCTCCTTGCTCTCAACCCCTGGTAACCACTACTGTGCTTTCTTAATATTAAGCTCCTCCTCACTTTTTCTTTAACATTTATTTTAGGTTCCGGGGTACATGTGCAAGTTTGTTATATAGGTAAACTCATGATGTCACGGGGATTTGTTGTACAGATTATTTCATCACCCAGGTACTAAGCCTAGTGTCCAGTAGTTTTGCCCTTCTCTGTCCTGCCGCCCTCCACTCTCAGGTAGGCCCCAGTGTCTGTTGTTCCCCTCTTGTGTCCATATGTTCTTATCATTTAGCTCCCACTTATAAATGAGAGCATGTGGTATTTGGCTTTCTGTTCCTGCAGAGACCATGATCTCATTGTTTTTTATGGTTAAGGCTCCTTTTAATTCAAGTCTCCTTTAAGGCTCTCACCAGGTAAGTTACAGTTGTAGTTTTGTACAGAACTGAGAAGGGAAGAAATGACTATATAACAGTTGAAACATAGGTATGTAATCACTAGGTCAGATCCTGGCCAAACTTGTTAAAGTCTTGAGAGAATAGCTTAATAATCATGTGGTGCATCAGTTCTAAAAATAGACTGGGAACTTTGCAAGGTCTGTGTCTCACAAAAGATACATAATAACCAAATGCAATGTATAAATTGTAATTGAGTACTGTTTTGAAAAATCCAGCTATAAAAAACAAAAGGAGAACAATTGAAATCTGAACAGTAAATGATATTAGGGAATTAGTTCTTAAATTTTTCATAGGGGTAATAGTATTGCATTTATATGGGAGAATGTTCTTATTCTTAGAAGATATGCTCTGGTATTTAAAAGGTAAAGTGGCTTGAATCCAGGTGGTAGATATACGGGTGTTTTCAGTACTGTTATTTCAAACTGATTTATTGTAAATTTTCATAATGAAAATTTAGGAGAAAAGAAAGTTTTCTTCCCAAAGGCTGGCTCCCTGACATTTCTATAATACCAACATTATTATGACCAAGAAACTATTTTAAATGTATTTAGAAGCAAAATTATGTAATGAAAATTACCTGTTGTCTTATTCTTTCATAGGTACCCATTTGAACCTCCTCAGATCCGATTTCTCACTCCAATTTATCATCCAAACATTGATTCTGCTGGAAGGATTTGTCTGGATGTTCTCAAATTGCCACCAAAAGTGAGTTGTGGGTAAATGGTTGACTCTACAGCATTCTGTTTTCTTCATCTATTAAACTTGAATTAGAGTGTCACATTATAATATAAAAGCAACTGTTTATCTGTTTGTGTATAGGGTGCTTGGAGACCATCCCTCAACATCGCAACTGTGTTGACCTCTATTCAGCTGCTCATGTCAGAACCCAACCCTGATGACCCACTCATGGCTGACATAGTAAATATCCCCATTTTCCTCTGCAACATATATCCTACCTTGTCTATACCACTAACTCTCCCTGTGTGAGGATAGCTGCAGCAGCTCTAACTGACCACTGCAAATCATTTTTTTCTCCATTAACTCTTTGATTTCATCTCAGTCCTCAGAATTTAAATATAATAAGCCAGTCTTCCTCAAGAATGCCAGACAGTGGACAGAGAAGCATGCAAGACAGAAACAAAAGGTATGATGTTTGCTACTATTGTTAGTTAAGTATATATGTATAAATAATGTTTTTTAGATTTGCCAAATTTGTACTGAACTCTAGAATGCCTGATCTTTTTCTCCTATTGCAACCTTCTAAATAATCATTCAGCAAAATAGCCTAATAGCTCAACCAACAGTAGATGTTTCATAACAGTTGTCATCTATTGGCAACACTAGAGGGCAGGCAGCATCTGGTTAATTTTTTTTTTTTATATTACAGATAGCAAGGATAGCGGGGTGGTGTCTCAGATTCTTTTTTCTAAGTTGTCCTTTTAACACTGAGAAGAATCTATATTTGCAGGGACTAGTTGCAGAGATAGGGGGAAACTTTTCTTATGGGACCATTCGTGGAAGAAGGTTGAAGGAAAAACTTCAGGTTGATAGAATTTCCTCATTTAGCAAAATGCAAATTACAGGAACATGGATGTTAACACATGATAGTTCTTGCTGAGTTATACCATCTTTCAGATTGAGTTAAATAGCAGTTGTGTTACTTGTAAAAAGAAATAAAAATTTTAAAAAATTGAGAAAGATGTTTTTGAGAGAATATCATATGCACAATGCTGTATATAAATCTTGCAGCAAAGAAGTACATGGAAATAATATTACAGAGCTTCATTTTTCTCCATCCTGGCATTTGTGTGAACCTTACTGTATTTCACCCTGTCTCCTCCTTTTTAGGTTGATGAGGAAGAGATGCTTGATAATATACCAGAGGCTGGCGACTCCAAAGTACACAACTCAACACAGAAAAGGAAGGCCAGTCAGCTAGTAGGCGTAGAAAAGAAATTTCATCCTGATATTTAGGGGACTTGTCCTGGTTCATCTTAGTTAATGTGTTCTTTGCGAAGGTGATCTAAGTTGCCTACCTTGAATTTTTAAAAAAGTATATTTGATGACATAATTTTTGTGTAGTTTATTTATCTTGTACATATGTATTTTGAAATTTTTTAAACCTGAAAAATAAATAGTCATTTATTGTTGAGTATGTGTTTATCCTGAATGTGTGTCTGGGAGTAAACTGGCCAGAGAGGTATATAATCAGAACGTTAAAATATTTGGAATTGTTGTCCTTTAGTTTGCCAACTTCCCAGCACCGCTAGGGACTCTGAATGTTTGACACAGATGTAAAATAGCTGTAGGAACAATTCAATTACCCTTACGCTTTCAGGGATGATAGCTTTTCTGAGGTCTTAAAATAATGTGGTAAGAAGATAATAGATCCTTTTGCAAATTTATTTTTTTTGCAGCTTTCACTTTTTGTGATTTACATAGCTGACCAGAATTCTGTGATAAAACTTTCATTTGTTCAACAAATACTTATTGAACGCCTACTATGTGCCAAGTATTATGCTAGTGTTTGAGAATGAAATGGTGAGAAAATTGGATGTGAGATTAACCAAATGCTCCTAAAAATGTAAGTAGGGATTTCCTCTCTCCAGCATCATTTTATGGCAAGTACCACTCTGGACAATTTGGTGTCAAACTTGAATTCCCTACTCGTGATTTTGTAATACACTTGACTTATCTTTATAATTCTATTTAAATGACAGAGATAACAGATTTGAGCAGAAATCAGCTGAAATAGGAGGAGATCACTCAGGCCAAGCTAAGACTTTGAGGAATGTTTTTTTTTTTTTTTTGAGACGGAGCCTCGCTCTGTCTCCCAGGCTGGAGTGCAATGACGCGATCTCGGCTCACTGCAACCTCCGCCTCCCAGGTTCAAGCGATTCTCCTGCCTCAGCCTCCTGAGTAGCTGGGAATACAGACGTGCACCACCACACACAGCTAATTTTTGTATTTTTAGTAGAGATGGGGTTTTACCATGTTGGTCAGGCTGGTCTCAAACTCCTGACCTCATGATCCACCCGCCTTGGCCTCCCAAAGTGCTGGGATTACAGGCATGAGCCACCATGCCCGGCCTTGAGGAATGTATTATAGATACTGGACTTGCCTAGGCAGATGACTGAAGACTATAATGCCCTTGTCCATATCACAGTGTAGCAATGATGATTTTTTACCTAGGCTAGGCACCATGCATGTAAAATGCATCTCTGAATAGGCATCTTTCATTCTTCTACCTATGAATTACCTTGTACTCTTTACTGAGCAGCAGCCTGCCATACTGCTTATGTGGTGATTGGACTCATGCAAAGAAAAGAAGTATGAATTTATATAATCCATTAATGACAGGTCATGGCAGAAGCTAAAAATATAAATTTCTAACGTCTACAGTATTTTTGAACCCACTTTTCAAAATCAGTTACCGGTCTTTTTTTAAAGCCCAGGAATTAATTCTGTTCCAGGCTTGTTTCCTATGTTTATGCATACTTAAGTCAGGTTTGGAGTTCCTAGATGCCATTAGTATATCAATTAGGATACTTACAGTTGTGAGTGAAATTCAACTCACACTGGCGATAATGAAAGAAGTTCATCGCCTTACTAAATAGAAAGTCCAGGGCTAAAGTGAACATCTGGGTTGGTGAATTCAAAGGCTCAACATTATCATCAAGATCTTGGTCTCTTTCCATCTGCCATCCATAGTATCAGCTTTCTCTTAGGCTGTTTGTTCCCTAAGTTTCTTCCCCTCCTAGGATGACTATCAGCAGCAGTTGGGGTTATGTACTTTCTATCCAGCCAGGCCAGGAGGCTCTACTTTCCATGAAACAAAAGTCCCTGTGGACCGCCCTGAAAGCAATCACTGTTGCCAGGGAAATGCCATGTGCTGATTGCTCTGGGCTAAACCCAGATATGAAGTGAGAGATGGACTTAGGGAGTAGTTGTAGGAAAAGAGCACCTCCTGTAGGACAAAACCCCTTACACTTCTATCACCATGTCTGGTCAGCTCTACCAGCTACTTTTCCCTACCGCTACTTACAACACTAGTTCAGCTGCCATCATCTCTCACCTGCACTTTAGCCATAACCTTCTATCTTGTTTCCTTGCCCCCATTCTTGACCTTTGACACTACATGCTCTTCACAGCAGCAAGAATAATCTTTTGACAATGTAAGTTGGATTTGGCTTCATTCCTCCAAGTGGCTTCATCTTGCAATTAAAAGCCTAGTCTCCTTCCCTGACCCGTAAGACCCCGCATGATCTGACCCCTGCTTGCCTTATCTGTCCATCCTCATTGCATACCCTCAAACCCCTTATACCTTACATTCCTCCATCCACACAGTCCTTTCAATGTCTTGAACACACCTAGCTCATTCCTACCTCAGGGATTTCACATATGCTATTTCCTCTGCCTCCTACATTCCCCAGGATAGTCTCAGCTTGAATGTAGCTGCATCAGAAAGCCGTTTTCTATCCCATCTAAAGGAGCCCTAGATCCTCAGGTACTCTCTGGTCCATAACCTATTACCCTAATTAATTTTCTTTATAGCACTTGTACCTATCTGGAAATGTGTTCATTTTCTAATGTGTATATTGTCTAACTCTAAGTGCTGGGGATATAGTGGCTACAAGGAACTTTTCTCTCTAATCACAGGAAACACCAGAGCCGAAAGCTATTAGAAGTCATCCAACCATTTCTCTACCTGAAGTACCGAGGACTGGACTAGAGAACAGAAGTGACTTGCCTGAGGATTTAAAAGCCCAGCTCCCTACTCCCAGCTCAGGGAAGGATGGGAAAAGGCTAAAAGCATGGACTTAAGTCAAGGAGACCCAGTTTCAGCTCTGGCAGTGCTGCTTACAAGTTGTGTGACCTTAGCTTTCTACTCAGTCCTATTTTTTCAGGTTTTGCCTCTGCAAAAGGGATGATGATGATGCTGCTGCTTAAGACTCATGAGGTTGTTGTGAGGATTGAATGAGATGATGCATGTAAAGCAGCCAGTACAGGGACTGGCATGGTGCTGACATTTATTGAGTGCTTAGCAAGGGCACTGGGGGATGGAGACCAACCATAGGTGGGTCTTAAGGAGCTGCCCTGCCCACTGCCAACTTGCCAATCTGCTCTGTTCCTAGGATAAGCAAGCTGAGCTGTTTCTCAATTCCAAACCCCTAATTAAAGAGAGATGACATCCATGACTGATCATATAAACATTGCAGATTCCAAGTTCCCCTCTCCTGCTGCCCCCAACCCCCCTCTCCACCCCTCCCCAAAAGCTATCTAAATAAGAACAGATTTTACCACCCACCTTGTGGGCAGACTCAGCTGAGGCTGGAACTAGCTATTTATCCTTCGGCTGCTGCGGGAATTCAACACATACAAATAAAGCTCCTTTTCCAGCCAAGTGTGTATTTTTCCATCAGCATGTGGCCCCCCTGCTCAGGTTGTCTTGTTTAGGTTGGGGCAGCCCAAGGGAGGGAAGGACAAGGAAGGGGTGTGGGGCTATGATTTCAGAACCTGCTCCCCAGAATGGCTGGCAGCAAGACATCTTACAGTCCTGAACCATACTGGGCTGCCAGTGAAGCCCGGGAGAGGTTGGGGTGATGGACACAGACATGCTATACTCAGAAACAATACATTCCACTTTCTCCTTGCTTCTTGGCAAGTCGCCCCTGCCTCCTGCCATGGTCCCCAGAGTGTGTCCATCCCTCTGTCCATCTCTTAGTTTATATCAGGGATGACAGTTTATCCAGAATGTCGCGCTCATTCCATCCACCCTCCCACCCCAATACAGGGTTTTTCCCCTTCATGTGCTTGTTTTCCTTGCTTACCTTTTCCCCTGATCCTGCATCCCAGTAGAATGTGTCCCCTTCCTTCCACTGTCTTCCTCCTTTAACCAGGACCCTGAAACTCTGTGCTTCAAAAAAAGGGTGTGCTCTGACAGTTCCCTCAAACCTTCCATCAGAGGCAACTTTTCTAGAGGGTGAGTTCTTAGTCTCTACGTTGTCTCTAGGCCTGGGAGTTATTGCCATGCACTAAGCTAAACCTTTCGCATGAAAATTTTTTTTTCTTTTTTGAGACGGAGTCTTGCTCTGTCACCCAAGCTGGAGTGCAGTGGTGTGACCTCGGCTCACTGCAACCTCTGCCTCCCGGGTTCAAGCGATTCTCCCGTCTCAGCCTCCTGAGTAGCTGGGATTACAGGTGCATGTCACCATGCCCGGCTAATTTTTGTATTTTTAGTAGAGATGGGGTTTCACTATGTTGGCCAGGCTGGTCTCGAATTCCTGACCTCAGATGATCCACTCGCCTTGGTCTCCCAAAAGTGTTGGGATTACAGATGTGAGCCACCACGCCTGGTCTCATGAAAAATCTTTTTAAATTTTTTCAGTAACCTTCAGAGTTTAGATACTATGATTATCCCCATTCTACTGAAGATGAAACATTCAGAGAAGTTAAGGAAAACCTAAGGACAACTGGCTGTAAATGGTAAGTCTAGGATTCCAATCCGGGCCTGTATGACTCCAGAATCGTATTTGTCAGCTGCATGGATTCTAAATTTTTTTTTTTTTTTTTTGAGATGGAGTTGCACTCTCATCACCCAGACTGGAGTGCGTGGGTGAGATCTTGGCTCACTGCAACCTCCGCCTCCCGGGTTCAAGCGATTCTCCTGCCTCAGCCTCCTGAGTAGCTGGGATTACAGGCACCTGCCACCACATCCAGCTAATTTTTGTATTTTTAGTAGAGATGGGGTTTCACCATGTTGGCCAGGCTGGTCTTGAACTCCTGAACTCAGGTGATCCACCCACCTTGGCCTCCCAAAGTACTGGTATTACAGGTGTGAGCCACCACACCTGGCCCTATTCTAATAATTTTACGTCTGCCTCCACAGAGTAGCTGTGGGATAATGGGCAAGTTTCTCCCCTTCCATTTCCTCCTCTATAAAATGCAGGCGTGGCTTGAATGCTCTCTGAGATTTCTCCCAAAGCTCACATTTGACAGTTCTGCAATTCTGAAACTTCCTGTGTAATCCAGGGGCTCAGGGCAGAGCCTGTGGATCTCTGGTTTAGTGATGAAATAAATTAGGTTGGTCTGTTGCCTTCTCATCTTCCCTTTTTATTATCTTTACTTCTTCAGCATTCTCTTGCTGTAGGTTCCCTGCTAGGGATTTTCCACCCAGGCCCACAGTCTCTACCTGTTAACTCATCCTGACAGTACTTCTGTCTTATCACATACTTTTGCTCATCGAAATTCCTATTCAGGCCATGCATGGTGGCTCTTGTCTGTAATCCCAGGACTCCAGGAGGCCAAAGCAGAAAGATTGCTTACATTCAGGAGTTTGAGAGCAGCCTGGGTAACATCGCGAGACCCCATCACTACTAAAAATTTAAAAATTAGCTGGGTTTGGTGGTGTATGCCTGTAGTCCCAGCTACTCAAGAGGCTGAGGTGGAAAGATTGCTTGAGCCTGGGAGGTCAAGGCTACAGGGAGCCATGATTGTGCCACTGCACTCCATCCTGGGTGACAAAGTGAGACCTTGTCTTACATTTTTTTAAAAAAAAAAAATTTCAATAACTGCCCTCTTCCACACTAATAGTTGAAAAGAGGTCAATGGGTTTACTCCTGGGCTGCAGGTAGAGAGCAATGCAGAGGCAGAAGCCTATCTGGCTTCTTTTCCATGAGGGTGACAGAAATCTAACAATCTCTCTTGAGCAAACAAAAGGTATTGGTTTACAACCTGAGAAGTCCAAATGTGCTTTTAGGCATGGCTAGGTACAGATGCTCAAATAATGCCATCAGGATTCATTTCACTCCAAGTGGCAAGAGAGACACCAGCAGCTTTCTTCCTATCAGTCCAGCAACTCCAGTGAAAGAGTACTTCTTTCTTATCAGCTCCAGCAAAGTTCCCAAGTTGGGTCTCATTAGAAGGATTTGAGATGCAAGCCCATCCTTGGACCAATCACTGTGACCAGGGATTAGAGTAAGCTGATAGGGTCTGGGTTATATTCCCACCTCTGGAACCTGGTCTGGAGTCAACCCCACCTGAAAGGTAGGCACTAGAGAGCAGTGGAGGTAGTTGCCTGAAGGAAGGTCAAATTGATGTTACCAGAAGAAAGGACGTGGTCATTTCCTTTCTTATAAAGGAACAGATGCCCTGGGCAAAGGGCTATGGGCTATTCCTAACCTGAAGGAATAAGTAAGTATGATGGTGGAATTTCAACCTCTGTGGTAGCCAGGGAAGAAGCTGTTATAAAGTAGAGGGTCCGGGAACTTGGTAGCCTTCAAATCTCACTATACAAATATCTGCCCATTCTGCGTTATTTACATCTCCTGGCCAGATGGCCCCTTTAGGTTGGAAAACAGAATCTTAATGGATGTACTTGGATATATTAATTTCTTTTCTTTTCTTTCTTTCTTTTGTTTGTTTGTTTTTGAGACAGGGTCTGGCTCTTGCCCAGGCTGGAGTGCAGTGGCATGATCTCAGCTTACTGCAACCTCCCAGGCCTCCCACTTCAGCCTCCTCAGTAGCTGAGACTAAAGATGCACGCCACCATGCCCAGCTAATTTTTTTTTTTTTTTTTTAGAAATGTGGTTTCGCTATGTTGCCCAGGCTAGTCTTGAACTCCCAACCTCAAGCGATCTGCCCACCTTGTCCTTCCAAAGTGCTGGGATTACAGGTGTGAGCCACCATGCCCAGTCTATTGATTTCTTAATACTTTTTTTCAAAAGAAATAAATTGAGCACTTTTTTTGTGTGTTAGACCTCATGAAAAGGATTGAGGTTACAACAGTGAATGAGACCAGCATGATCTCTGCTCTCATGGAACTTTCCTACTGTGCCTACTGTCCATTCAGAGAAAAGTAGTCCTACCCACAGCCCTTGACAAGGGAAGCCCTGAGCAGTTATATTTTGTCCAATATGACCCCACACAAACATACCCATTCACACACTACAGTTTAGTGAACCAGGACAGGTTCCTGGCCTAAGAGTAATCAACCCACCTGTTGGCCATTAACCTATAATTTGGCCTATCGTAGAAAAGGAAGTTTGGTTAGTTTGGTTCTCTCTCAATCTTTCAGGATACTACCGTTGGAAATTTAAAAAGGAAAACAACAAGGAAATTAGCCCAGGAACTGAAAGCTGAAAGGATGCATCCAGAGACCTTGAGGAAGGACAGGGTTCATAGTGAGGTAAACATAAGCAGAAGTTACCCATAAACACAGGCTGTGAGTCAAAGGAAACAATTCATTTCTGCAATAAATAATCACACCTTTTCTTTACCCCATTGCTGGGCCAAAAGAATTATTCTGCCTCCCTTATTGCTTCACATATATCCTCTGAAAAATTATTCTTTTGACCCAGCAATTCCACTTCTGGGAATTTATCTTACAGATATACTTACTTACACAGGTGCTAAATGGCATTCATGTAAGGTTACTTGTTGCAATATTGTTTATAAGAGCAAAAGAGTAAGCAACCCAAATGTCCATCAGAAGGGGCATAAGATGAAATCATGATACATCTACATAATGGGCTATAACCTGCTTCAGAAACATTAGAATGCTTTCTTTACTGATGTAGAAATGTCTTTGAGCTATATTACAGGTTAAAAAAGCAGAAGCAGAACCTTGGTGTGCTACTTTGGGAAAAGGAAAAATAAGCATATATATGCATCTTGCTAATATATATATTTTCAAAACTCTGGAAGGATATATAAGAAACTAATAACAGTGGTAACCAATGAGGGCTTGGGAAGTGAGCCAAAAGGGACGGAAATGAGAGGAAAACTGTTAAGAATTTGTTATTTGAACCATGTGAATGTATTACTTATTCAAAAATTAAACTTATGAAAAGCTTTTTAAACAAAAGGGGTGGGTGGAAGCAGCTGATCGTGGTTGAGAAGCAGATAGATATAAAAACAGGCCTCCAGAGAGCAGCTGAACCGGCTAATTTTGGGCAACACAGAGAATAATCACAGACTAAATCCAGAATGACCTTTAGTTTCAGGTACCACAAGGCCCAGTCTTACTGCTCTTTCTGGCCTTGGATTTATTTGCTGAGATTCTGCCTCGCTTATTGCTTCATATGGATCCTCTCAAGAAACACGTACTTACTTAACTCCTGAGTTTCTGTCTCTTAATCCAGTCTAAGAAGAACAGCTGAAAAAATGGTCTTCCCTGTAGTTGAGCCAGGAAGATAGAGGGTTTGAAATATTCTGTTTTCAAGAGTGGAGGGCAGGTATTCATGAAGGCACCAGTTTTCCACTCAGAAGGGAGTCAGGCACTAGATCAGTACAGCCCTAATACCATTCTGGGGCTAGCACCTTGCCCCATGATTGCAAGTTTTGTTGAACTCCATCTTCCCTCCTCTGAGAAGGGGCCACCTGGTTGTCTTGGGGGCATCACCCCACTCT